TGCCTCCCAAGTGCTGGGGTTAAAGGCGTGTGCCACCAACGCCCGGCTTGAAATACCCTTGCAATTGACATCACTGTGAAATGCCAAGTGCCCCTAGTGCTTGTGTTGTCAAATCCAGAGAGCCCTGGTTCCTTTAGTGTCTTCAAGAAGTTCTGCACTTTGAACAGTTAACCTTTAGGTATATGTATGGAGTTAATTCTGTGGAGCTTTTGAACAGTGTTTCCTGTGTAGAGTAGCACTCTACTACTAAACTGTGGTGTAGAAGAGTAGTATTGATGGTATAATGACTTACCAGTTCTTAGGAGACAAAGTCACAAAGTATAACTTAGGGAAGGGAGGGCTGCCTCTCAAATACCCCAAAGATAAGTGGTATGCTAACCAAGACAGTTAGAGATTAGTATGATAAGATGCAAATGTTTATTCTCATTCTCAAAGCAAAGGAGACAACCCTGATTTACAACCAGCAGAAATGCCCATCCATCCATTAAAAAACAGGCCTCCAAATGCTGCTCAAGTTACCATTACAGGGTCACAACTAACATTAAGTCCTGATGTGCCATAAAGGTATATTAATTCTAGAACAGTGGTATCTCCAGCTTTTGAAAATCGATTTTGAGTCAAGGTCTCCTATGTTGATTGGGGTGGACTGTAGCCTGTCTGTAGCCCCATAAAGCATTGTCCTGACTCAACACCCTAAGCCTTTGATTGCACGTCTGCCATACCACACAGTTCTATTTTGGTTGTGAGCCTAGCCTTTAACGGCTGAGCCATCTCTCCAGCTCACCACACAGTTCTAAAATGACCAGTTTGAGTCACATAGTGGACTGTCCATTGCAGAACAGGGGAAGGATTTGGGTGTGGAGTCAGACCAGAAGATGAGAACGGTGTACTGTGTATACTACACGGGGAAACAGACTAGACAATTGCTAGGTCACAGACTGAAGTTGCAGGCAGTGAGCTTCAGGGGCCTCCTTTACAAAGAAGGAGTGATGAGGCATGGTGAGTGACTTCCTCTGTAATTTCCCAGCTTGTGTTAATTCCTTCCATGGGAATGAAGAAAGACAGAATAGGTGGGTATGTGATTTAGGGAGGATAGCTTGAACTAAGTATTCAGTTTCCAATTAGGAATTCTCCTATGCAGATATGTACAGTCCTGATTGACACGGTTAAATCAACTGAGAGGTTTGAGAAACAGATGATTGGCTGTAACTCCATGTGTTTGCTTACATCACTCATGAGCTAACATTTTACATGGGACAAAGCCATACAGTCTCTCATTGATGTCATTCTCTCTATCAGGAAAGTGCTATTCCATTTCAAAGTCAGTATAGACAAGTGTTCTTCCAATTATTTTCACCATTTTAAAACATAAATTATTGTATCATTTTTAACACTAATTTTCTTCAAATGCATTACTGCTATTTTTTCTGTTTTTCGATGTTTACCGGTTTAAGAATTTCATTCCGTTTTTTTCTTAAGTGTTGTTAATTTCTATATTTATTTATATCAGTTTATAGCACTGGTTTTCAACCTGGCAGGGGTCACAGCTCCCTTTGGAGGAATCAAATGACCCTATTACATGACTGGCCTAAGACCATTGGAAAGCACAGACATTTATATTACAATTCATAACAGTAGCAAAAATATAGTTATGATATAGCAGAGAAAATAATTTTATAGTGGAGGGTGGGTCACCATATTATGAGGAACTGTATTAAAGGGTAACAGCATTAGAAAGATTGAGAACCACTTGTTTATATCAATGTCTGCTGTAGTTCAGGTTTACCTCACACAGTGTAATTGAGAATTGCTTTGCACACCTAATCCTGCCTCTGCTGCCCAGTGCTGGAAAGACAGTCCTGCAATTCCTTCCAGATGGGCCTGGAGTGGTCTGTGGGAAGGAAAAATACATCAGTGAATGAGTATCCTTCTCTAGATTTCATTGTGAATTTACAAGTGAAGTGGGGCCTGTGTAAGAATTGAGTTCACTGACCAACTTTAAAGCAGGTGCAGTCACAATGGAAAACAGGATGGGCAAAAAAGAGGGTGAAGGCTTTCCTGCTGTGACAGTAGTTGACATTAGCAAGAGTAGTGAGGTAATCGATTTCAGATGATCAATAAATATTCTGACTCACCATTTCTTGGGTCCATAGACCAGGCATTCAAGAATCTGTATAAAGAACTGAAGTTATCATTAAATCAAAGTACTGTAGTTACAGTAGTTCAAGCAAAATAGAAGATCTGGACAAGACTGTGTTTTTCAGGTTTAAGATGTATATCCCCAGAGAAATTATGTGAGTAGTACTTGGTGTGCTCTAATACTGAAGGGATCGACCCTCACCCAGCTCCCTGCTTCAGCAGCCATGACAGGCGGCAGAAAAGACCAAGCAAGATGTAGACTTCTGACTCAGCACATGTTGCTTAGTTTCTGGCCTTCTGACCTTCCAGGAGCTGCCTTAGTCACTAGGACGTCAGATACCCTCCACGGAGCAAGGAACCAATCAGAATTAGCTGGTGGGACTCTGGATGTGCTTTATAGCTCTAGACATGCCTTAGGGTAAAAGTGGTATAACAGTGGCATGCAGAGCACAGCAACCACCCTGGGAGGACCTATAGGCCATACCAACCAGTTGACCAATCAACACAGGACAGGTTGTAATGTGGGAAATTACCAACACGGATCCAGGTAGAAATACAAGGAAATTTAATAGGGAAAAGCCTTACTTACAGAGCAACCTAGCCAGCCAGCAGGGCAGCAGAAGTACAGCAAGCCGAAGATGAAAACGAAAGCGCGGCCGCCACGTAAGCGTCCCCACTCTTAAACTTTCCCTAAGTCACCCTTGCAGGCATGGTCAGGCACACCTGTAGCCAGTCCCTAAGCAGGCATGGCTTCAACATACCCTACAAGGTTGCCCAAGCCCGGAAGCGCACCAATCCTGAGACTGTTGTAGACCCCTAGACACTGCCCTTGGACGCCCACATAAGTTCCCCACGTCACAGTTCCCCTGGGACCCTTCTCATTCCACCTGCAATGATGAATGGATGAAGGGCCCTGAGTTAAAACACTCAACTAGTTAAAATAAAAGACTCTCTGCTTTTGCATCAGAATAGGTCTCATGGTAATTTGGGGATTCAGAATTTGGGTACAATACAGATCCCTAGTCTCTGGAGCACATGGCCATAAAGCCTGCTTCAGCTTTTTAACTGAATTCCTTGGGATTATGATTATATTATTTCCACTATTTCTTTCCTGCCTCCAATCAACCTCCCCCATAGCCCCTTTCTTGTGTTCTAACGCATAACCTTTTTTTTGTTTGTTTGTTTAACAACAGTTACTGTTTGTGACCTGCGTTTGGTTTCAGGATCTCCCAGCTATGAAGTAAAGGGTTGGCTACATTGGACATTCAGTGTGTAATGGAATGTGTACACATAGGACCCTGTGATTTGGGAGAGGAACAGGAGTGGCTTTGTGAGAGTGGAAGATTTTACTAAACTACAAATTTCCCAGATTGGGGTCTTGTCTGACCATAGTGTGGAAGGGCAAACCAGAGAGGGTTTTTGATCTCTGAGTCATTTGATCCCTGCCCACCCATTAGGGTAACTGCTAATGTCCTGAAGCCCAGATGGTGGTCCTAGCTCATGAGGAAGTCAGGTAATGCTTGGCAATCAGGAGTACCGGTAGGAGGTAGTTCACCAGTCCTTTCCAGGATTCTCCTCTTATTCTGCTATAGAGGGCTATAAGGAGGACCACAGCCATGCCATAGGAAATGTGGGGGCCCCAGACCAGTAAGATCAGGTTGGCTGAGCTGTCAGAGATGCTTGGACTGGAATGGACCATGAGCCAGACTGAGTTTTTGTTGGTCCCTGTGGTGACTTGGGTAGTAGCCCTTGGCCTCTGAGCTTTGCTGCGTGTAGATTGGGGGAGGCTCTGCCATCCTGGCATGGGAGACAATAAGCTTGTAATACCACTGCTTCATACTTCAATTACTATGTAATTGAGGTTTACCTTATGCTGTGTAATTGAGAATTGCTTTGAATACTGAATCCTGCTTCTTTCTGAATGTGTATACTTTCTTTTATAACCAAATCCATTGGTTTACATTTGCAAGAAACTTGCTGTTGAATTTGGCACAGATCTCCAGCCAATGTTGGATAGGTCTGTGCTACAGGTGGTAGCCAGGGCTGGTAACCACTGTGCTGTGTCCTTTCAGCTCATGGGCTCCTGTCACTCAGGTCTCATTTAGCAAATCATGGCCTTGAACAAACCGGCCAGTCCGATGGGAGCATTTATTCCAGGAGCCAGGCTTTTGTCTCAGGTCCTCTGCTGAGGAACTCTAAGTTGGTTTGTATGTGCTTGGCTCTGGGCTCCATTGTGGCCTAGTAGAGCGTGGGAGAGCCTGGCTGCCAGGAGCCATGGCACAGGTAACCTTAGACCTACAAGGAGATTTGGGCTGCTTCAGAGATTCTCTTGTAAAAGATTGCCAGCATTTTAAGAACAGCCCATTGTGTTAAAAGAATAGCGGCTTCCAGTTTCAATCTACCCCTTCCTTCCCCCTTAGCTTCCTGATAAGAGAACCCAGGCTTGCACAAATAGAGGTTAGCAAACAAACTTACACAAATAGCTAGTTTATAACAGGCTTACTAAAGTAACTGTTAGCAAAGAGGCTCTTGGAAGATAGCTGATAGCAAAGAAGGTCAGGTTACTTTACAACTCTTTGTCCTGCGACCCCTTCATCCCGCTAACAACCTGCTTTATTTACACCTCTCCGCTTGCCCATCCTATTATCCTGTCTACCTTCAAGGATTCACATACCAAAGACCTCTGTCCCTGACTAACATACCAGGCAAATGACCCCTCCCCTGACAAACCCCCACCCTACCAAGATTTCCTGCTTTACTTGCTATATAAATAAGGCCTCTGAGAAAAATAAAATTTTGCAGCTTGATCAGAAATCCTGTCTTGCTGTCATTTTCATGTCTCTTGTCCTTATTCATTTCAGGTCCTTTGAGGTTCGGGTTCACATTTCAGCCTTGCTGGCTCGGGCACCTGGCAGCCGCCCATGGTAAGTGAGGGACTGCTGTCTCCAGACAGGAAGAAGTGGCTGGCCATGGTGAGTATGATACAATTGAAGCAATTCCTATTCAGTGCTAAGCCATTTTGCTAGCCTGATTTTTAAGTTTTGTTGTTTTTATTTTTGCTTCTGAAGACAAGGTTTGTCTGACTATCCCTGGCTGTCCTAAAAGTTAGTTGCTTTGTAGAGCAAGTTGTCCTCAAACTTAGAGATTCACCTGACTCTTGCTCCAAATGCTGGGATTAAAGATGGGCCAACATTCCTATATCTATATCTATATCTATATCTATATCTATATCTATATCTATATCTATATCTATATCTATCTATATCCTTATCTATGATGGGACTAGAATGTAGGTTTTTTTTTAAGATTTTATTTATTTATTATGTATACAACATGCTGCCTCCACATATGCCTGCATGCCAGAAGAGGGCACCAGATCTCATAATGGATGGTTGTGAGCCACCATGTAGTTGCTGGGAATTGAACTCAGGACTTCAGGACCTCTGGAAGAGCAGCCAGTGCTCTTAAGCTCTGAGCCATCTCTCCAGCCCCGAATGTAGGTTTTTGTACATGTCAAAAATATGTTGTTTATCTGTGATTTACCCCCAGCTTGAAATTCGAAATTTGGCAGAGGGTATCATTCTCTTTCCCAGAATGGCAGGATTCATGACATTAGTATTCCTGGGCCTTGTGAGTTATTGGATTACAGGTGTGTAACATTCTTCCTGCTTGTTGTATTTGTTTTTATTTTTTAAAATGAATATGATTCTTTTGCCTGTACACATGGATATGTACCACATGTGTGATGGGTCCTCACAGTAATGAAAAATGGACTTAGATTCCCTGAGCTTGGAAAAATGGATGGTTGTGATCCCCCATGTAAGTACTGGCAATTGAGCCCACCTATATATGCAAGACCATTGAGAACTCTTAACCACTGAGCCCTTTCTCCTGCCTTGTGTTGATTATTTATGATCAACATTGACACTGCTCGTGTTTTCACCTATCAATTTAGAACTATTTAAACATGCTGTCCCTTTTAGTAAGATTTATTAAACTTACTAAATTTATTAAATTTACAATTTAAACTAGAGCCCTTCACATTTCTGGAAGATGAATACAGAACTGGAGTGAATTCATAAATCTTTGTAGAAACTTCATTTAAAAATCTGAGTTCTACCTATTTTTTTTTTGATCGCTATTTGCAGGGAAGATAGGTTCTTAATATCTACTACTTGCTGTCCTGGAACTGATTGCATAGACTAGACTAGCATTCAACTCAGAGGCAGATATACCTGCCTCTGCCTTCTGAGTGCTGGGATGAATGGCATTAGCCAATACACCCGACTTGCTCAAGACTTTTTGTAGTTAGTAATTGTTCATATAATTTCTCTGGTGTGTACTTGGTGCTGTTGATCTTTTTGCTTGTCTGTTAATAGGCATTTCTCTTGCAAGGTGATATCCCATTCAAAGTGTTCCGAAATGATAGACGTAAACCTCCTATTCAGTTTCCTTTCAAAGTGACTTGATGATTATGTTATAATGTCTGCTTCATAGGATAAGTGCAAGAAGCACTAGAATTATATGACTGTATTTCCAAAGAAGTATACATTTACACTGTTGTCAGTAACATGCTTTTTATTGTGTACATGTTTGCCATATTTTAGGATGCAGTGACCTATAATGATATGCATGTTAACTTCACTTGGGAAGAGTGCACTTTGCTGGATTCTTCCCAGAAGAATCTCTACAAAGATGTGATGCTAGAGACCTAAAAGCATGTACCTCACTACTATAGGTAATACTGTGAATTTTCCTTCACCTTTTAAAATAAGGGGACAACTTATTGATGCTTCTGTAATTTTGATTGAGAATGAGGAAGAATGAGGTAAATAAATCAGGCATGGTTCTAAGGATCACAGAAGATAGTAACTTAAATTTTGCATAATTTCCAAAAATATATCATATTTTTCTGGTATGGTATGTAGCCTATACTTTAGGCTACAAATGGGGAGATCATAATACTGAAGAACCTTGTCAAAATTCTCAAAGACTTGGAAGGTAAGTTTCATGTGTATGCTGATACACATGTGCCTTTAAAGATACTTTATTGTTTATGGAAGTTTTAAAGAAAAACAGCAGTATAAATAATCACAGCCTAAAAGTGCATTAATAATCATTAAATTTTCACAAAACCATATACCTCAATGTGAGGTAAGTGAATTGTTTTTGCAGGTCATTCTTTTAAGAAGTAAGACAACAAATCAATGCCTTAACAGATATCACCACTTGAATCATAGTTCCATCAGAGCTAAGCTGTAGAAGTGCCAATCCATTTAGTTTCATATCACTTATATTACAAAAGGTATACAGATTGAATAGGTGATAAGTGTATGTCTAAAACCTTCTAATAATCAAATAGTCCATACCAAAGCAGGTGTTACTCATATAGTTGTTCTGAATTTGCTAAGTTTAGTGAGATGGGTAGTTAGAGACAAGAGTCAGGGGGTTTCAGAGAAACTTTAATCCATGTACTATATGTCTATGAGGAAGAGAAAGTTAAATTTTGTAAATTCAATGTGGAAACCTTTTATTTGTTATTCTTCCATCATATGTCACCATGGATACAAGCCATATGAGCATAGGGATGTGGAAAGAAGCAATGTACCTTTCTACATCTCAATTAGAAGATATATAGTAGTCCCCATGTTAAGGAGAAATGTTGAATGTGATTCAAGTTTACAAGTAATTGGTTTTACAGCTTCATTGGGAATGCGTCAATAATCTTATACTGCAGAGAGTCCTTTGATTACTAGGAATGTGTAAACACTTCTGTTTGTCCTGGTTCATTCTGCAAATGTAGTATGACTCACAGTATAGAAAATTTATCAATGGAATAAATGAGGAAATGGTCTGAATTCTTCCAGTTCTTTTCAAATATGTGAAAAAATTAATAGAGAAAAAAAGATGCCATAAATGTGGGTCAGGCAATAAAGGCTTTTAACATCACAGGCTTCTTCAAATATTCAAAACAATTTTTAATGAAGGGGAATATGAGTGTAAACAAAGTGATAAAAGCTTAAGATCTGGTTACTCTTTACAATTAGACCAAATTGTAAAATTAATTCCTACTGATATAAAGATTCAACACTGGTATGAATGTCATAAAGCTTTTATGTGTGCTAATTATCCTTGCAGGCATGAAAGAAATCATCCTGGAGAGAAACCTTCTGAATATACACAATGTATTAAAGGCTTTGCAGATCACTTTCATCTTCAATAGCATAAAAGAATTCGTACTGGAGAGAAACCTTCTGACAGTATTCAATATGATGAAGCCTTTGCATGTCACAAGAATCCCCAAACTCATCAAAGAACACATACTAGAGAGAAACCCTATGTGGTAATCAATGTGGTAAAACCTTTGTATGTCAAAGTAGTCTCCATATACATAAAAGTATTTTCATGTATCAGTAATCTTTGAAAACATAAGAAAATACTGCAGAGAAACCCTCTAAATGTATAAAGATGATCAAAGTTTTGCAAATCATGGTAGTCTTTATACAAGAGTAAAACTTTTAGTGTGTAATTAGTACATTAAAGCCATTGTATGTAATAGACTTTGAAGATCCAATAAAACTCATACCAAAGAGTATCTGAATATAAATCATTTGATAAGATCTTTAGCTAATACACATTCAGTTACACAGGACTATTCAGTAGAAAAAATGACAAGTGTCAAAATCTGTTCTAGCATTTTTATGATTTCCCTGTTTATTTTGTTTACACCTGAAAACTCACATGGTCAGAAGGCCTATGAATTTAAATGATAAAGTAACCCTTTTAGATAATGAATCCAGGTGTAAAACTTCATAGATGTGTATTGTGCCTTTTCTGTTGCTGTGATTCAACATCATATCTAAGTGAACTTATGAAAGCCATTGATTGCAGAGCAATTCAGGATTACCATGAATGTGGCATGGAATCAAGTGTTAGATAAGGCAACTAAAGTAGGAAGGTAAGAATTCACATTCTAAACCTCCAGCATGAAGCAGAAAGTGTAAAGTGGAAATGGTGTGCAGATATAAACTCTCAGGCCAACCCCTAGTGACATACTTCTTCCACCAGAGCAGCGCTTCCCAAATCTTCCCAAATGATACCACAGACAGAATGGTTGATTTCTCTGACTTCAAGAATACATGCTTGTTTTATTTCACATGAACCAATTCATGATGGAGAAAAACTCTGTAAGCCTTTCGATGCCTCAGCAACTGTGTTACAGGCGTTACAAGAGAAAATACTCATGAATGAACATTAGTTAGGATTTGTTTTAATTTTAAATATGTGATGTCAGTGTGTCCTTGTGTGGGTATGTGCTTGTGCATTCTGGTTCCTGTGAAGGTTAGACCCTTGGAGCTTCTTGTAGCAGGAATTGCTGGAAGTTGTCAGAAAGCTGACCTTAGTCCGGGGAATGAACTTCTATTAAGGGCTCAGTAAATATTTGAAAGATTTTTTCCTATCAGGAAATAGGAACTCATACAAGAGAAAAACCCTATTCATGTAAATGATTTGGTAAAGACTTTGAAAGACCCCAGAAGAGGTACTTTCGTAGAAGGAGACCCGCACCCAGGAATCAGCGAGACCACGAACTTGGATGCAAAAAAGCAAGAGGCTTTATTACACGGGTACCCGGGGCGGCTTAGCTTCTGTTAGGCCAAGCGCCCCGAGCCAAGGAAGAGGGGTCCTTATATAGAAAAAAGCACAGTACAGAAGCAAAAAGCATAGTTACAGAGATTCTATTGGACAATTTAATGAGGTGCAAAGTTATTTCAAATCAGCACTTTCTCAAGGTCTAGTAGTCAGGCGAAACGGCCTTGGCTTTACTTATCTTTTTCCACGTCCAGATGGCTGACCTTGGGACGGAGCGTTCCCCATCAAGCGGGGGCGCGGGGGGGGGGAAGGGTGCCCTCTC